TTTTTTTTTTGTTGTTTTTTTTTTTTTTTTTTTTTTTTATAGTTTAGATCCTGGACTATGAATTTGAATTTTGGATTACAATCCCAGTGTCCAAGATTAGGTGCACAGAGCTTATTTGCAAAGAGGTCCTTGCCAACCTAAAAAACACAATTTTCCTTGCTCGTGACAAAAAAAGATAGGGTATACCCATTGGTTTACTTGCTCATGACACTAGGACTAATCCCTACCAATTGCGATTGCCTCTGTGGAAAGAGCATTTTCTACTATGAATATATTGAAAAGTGATTTGCAAAACCGAATGAGAGATATATGGATGAATGACAGCTTGATCATATATGTTGAGAAAGATACATTTGATATTATTGATAATGAAGTGATTATGAAAAGATTTCAAGAGATGAAAACTCGTTGAAGATGATTGTGAATGTATTGGAATGACATATGAGTTATTACTAAAGACTTTGTATTATTACTTGTTATGTGATGATTTTATTTTTTGAGGTTGACCCTCCTTGATGAATTTTCTGGCTCCGCAATCCAGTAAGAGAGGATATCTACTTCTACTTCTACTATTTTGCTACCTTTTTCACCTTATATTCAGCCGAAGTTGTTTGGAATTGGATGCTCAGGCTCACAATTGACGCTGCTATTCATCGTGTTGTTGATTTTTGTTCGAAACCCTAGACACAGAGAGAGAACAAAAAGTCGGAAGGCCTCACCTTTGGATTTGAATATAACTTGTATAACAAGCTAGAGATGAGATCATAGAGAAAGGGGGGAAAGTTTAGAGAGGAAAGGTTACCGAAGAGGATTGTTGGGTGAGGTCGAGTTGTGCGCGGAGAGAAAGAGAATGAGTTGCTGTGAGCATGAGGAATGTGTTTTTGCGAGTGCAGTAGAACGATTTTTCCGAACAAGGATACGTCTATCCTCATAGTCCTACTTATCCCATTTATATATTACTTACCCGTTTATATTGTCTTACTTACTCGTTCATATTGTCCTATTGTAATTGAGATTTATTTAATATTTTTTTTAAAGTTAACACATTTTTGTACTTCTTTATAAATACCTCCATGTTAGATAACAATACATATTAAAATAACAGAGTATAGCTATACTCTCTAAATACAATATATTAACAGTATAGCCGTTCAGCTTTAAATACAATATTTTAGCATTATAGCCGCAAGGCTCGACTCTATAAATAGAAATTATAAACGTACAGCCGCACGGCTATACTTTCTAATTACATTCGATTATTTTAACAGTATAGCCGGGCGGCTATACTCTTTAAATTTATTCAGCTTGCACTCGCAGAGGACGGAACTTTCTCTCGCAGTCACTGCTTCGTCCTCCGGGTTCAGCACCGAAGAAAGACCCAACCCGCCTAGGCGCCCGCCTAGCTACTACCTAGCCGCCTAGCAACCTGCCACCGCCTAGCCGCCTAGCCACCGCCTACCGCCAGCCTAGGCCGACTTTTCAAACAGTGTGATTGACTGAAAGTCTAAAACCCGAAATTGAATTAGACATGCCTCAGTCAAATTAGATATTGAACAACTGAACAACCAAAGGGTCGATTTGTCATCTGTCAACTGAAAGTCAATCTTCTGCGAGTGCAAGCTTCGTGTTCGTCGGAATAAATTTAAAGAGTATAGCCGCGCGGCTATACGTTTAAAATATTCGAATGTAATTAGAAAGTATAGCCGTGCGGCTATACGTTTATAATTTCTATTTATAGAGTCGAGCCTTGCGGCTATAATGCTAAAATATTGTATTTAAAGCTGAACGGCTATACTGTTATAATTTCTATTTCTGCATGTATTAAAATAATTTCGATTGAGATATCTACTTCTACTTCTACTTCTACTTCTACTATTTTGCTGCCTTTTTCATCATCTTCGTCCGACGAAGAGCTGGAGTTTTGGATCTCCATAGGGATGCTGGGACCGAAGTTGTTTGGAATTGGATGCTCAGGCTCACAATTGACGCTGCTATTCATCGTGTTGTTGATTTTTGTTCGAAACCCTGGACACAGAGAGAAAGAACAAAAAGTCGGAAGGCCTCACCTTTGGATTTGAATATAACTTGTATAACAAGCTAGAGATGAGATCATAGAGAAAGGGGGGAAAGTTTAGAGAGGAAAGGTTACCGAAGAGGATTGTTGGGTGAGGTCGAGTTGTGCTCAGAGAGAAAGAGAATGAGTTGCCGTGAGCGTGAGCGTGAGGAATGTGTTTTTGTGAGCACAGCAGAACGATTTTTCCTTGAGAGAGGTTTACGAACAAGGATACCTCCATCC